CTTACCCAAACATGGATTAATAGGTTCTATACATGACTATGAGGAAAACATGATGAAACGGTCTCAATCCAAGGGAGGAACATCAAATGGACCAAATTTGGGAACCGGAAGAGGTAAGGAGTCCGAAATGTAGCTTGTGCCTCCACATTGTGGGAACTTACTTGTAGTGTATATGATGAACTAGACGGACCCATACTTACCCAAACATGGATTAATAGGTTCTATACATGACTATGAGGAGAAACATGAGTGAAACGGTCTCAATCCAAGGGAGGAACATCAAATGGACCAAATTTGGGAACCGGAAGAGGTAAGGAGTCCGAAATGTAGCTTGTGCCTCCACATTGTGGGAACTTACTTGTAGTGTATATGATGAACTAGACGGACCCATACTTACCCAAACATGGATTAATAGGTTCTATACATGACTATGAGGAAACATGAGTGAAACGGTCTCAATCCAAGGGAGGAACATCAAATGGACCAAATTTGGGAACCGGAAGAGGTAAGGAGTCCGAAATGTAGCTCTGTGCCTCCACATTGTGGGAACTTACTTGTAGTGTATATGATGAACTAGACGGACCCATACTTACCCAAACATGGATTAATAGGTTCTATACATGACTATGAGGAAACATGATGAAACGGTCTCAATCCAAGGGAGGAACATCAAATGGACCAAATTTGGGAACCGGAAGAGGTAAGGAGTCCGAAATGTAGCTCTGTGCCTCCACATTGTGGGAACTTACTTGTAGTGTATATGATGAACTAGACGGACCCATACTTACCCAAACATGGATTAATAGGTTCTATACATGACTATGAGGAGAAACATGATGAAACGGTCTCAATCCAAGGGAGGAACATCAAATGGACCAAATTTGGGAACCGGAAGAGGTAAGGAGTCCGAAATGTAGCTCTGTGCCTCCACATTGTGGGAACTTACTTGTAGTGTATATGATGAACTAGACGGACCCATACTTACCCAAACATGGATTAATAGGTTCTATACATGACTATGAGGAAACATGAGTGAAACGGTCTCAATCCAAGGGAGGAACATCAAATGGACCAAATTTGGGAACCGGAAGAGGTAAGGAGTCCGAAATGTAGCTTGTGCCTCCACATTGTGGGAACTTACTTGTAGTGTATATGATGAACTAGACGGACCCATACTTACCCAAACATGGATTAATAGGTTCTATACATGACTATGAGGAGAAACATGAGTGAAACGGTCTCAATCCAAGGGAGGAACATCAAATGGACCAAATTTGGGAACCGGAAGAGGTAAGGAGTCCGAAATGTAGCTTGTGCCTCCACATTGTGGGAACTTACTTGTAGTGTATATGATGAACTAGAGACCCATACTTACCCAAACATGGATTAATAGGTTCTATACATGACTATGAGGAGAAACATGAGTGAAACGGTCTCAATCCAAGGGAGGAACATCAAATGGACCAAATTTGGGAACCGGAAGAGGTAAGGAGTCCGAAATGTAGCTTGTGCCTCCACATTGTGGGAACTTACTTGTAGTGTATATGATGAACTAGACGGACCCATACTTACCCAAACATGGATTAATAGGTTCTATACATGACTATGAGGAGAAACATGAATGAAACGGTCTCAATCCAAGGGAGGAACATCAAATGGACCAAATTTGGGAACCGGAAGAGGTAAGGAGTCCGAAATGTAGCTCTGTGCCTCCACATTGTGGGAACTTACTTGTAGTGTATATGATGAACTAGACGGACCCATACTTACCCAAACATGGATTAATAGGTTCTATACATGACTATGAGGAAACATGAGTGAAACGGTCTCAATCCAAGGGAGGAACATCAAATGGACCAAATTTGGGAACCGGAAGAGGTAAGGAGTCCGAAATGTAGCTTGTGCCTCCACATTGTGGGAACTTACTTGTAGTGTATATGATGAACTAGACGGACCCATACTTACCCAAACATGGATTAATAGGTTCTATACATGACTATGAGGAGAAACATGAGTGAAACGGTCTCAATCCAAGGGAGGAACATCAAATGGACCAAATTTGGGAACCGGAAGAGGTAAGGAGTCCGAAATGTAGCTTGTGCCTCCACATTGTGGGAACTTACTTGTAGTGTATATGATGAACTAGACGGACCCATACTTACCCAAACATGGATTAATAGGTTCTATACATGACTATGAGGGAAACATGAGTGAAACGGTCTCAATCCAAGGGAGGAACATCAAATGGACCAAATTTGGGAACCGGAAGAGGTAAGGAGTCCGAAATGTAGCTCTGTGCCTCCACATTGTGGGAACTTACTTGTAGTGTATATGATGAACTAGACGGACCCATACTTACCCAAACATGGATTAATAGGTTCTATACATGACTATGAGGAAACATGATGAAACGGTCTCAATCCAAGGGAGGAACATCAAATGGACCAAATTTGGGAACCGGAAGAGGTAAGGAGTCCGAAATGTAGCTCTGTGCCTCCACATTGTGGGAACTTACTTGTAGTGTATATGATGAACTAGACGGACCCATACTTACCCAAACATGGATTAATAGGTTCTATACATGACTATGAGGAGAAACATGAGTGAAACGGTCTCAATCCAAGGGAGGAACATCAAATGGACCAAATTTGGGAACCGGAAGAGGTAAGGAGTCCGAAATGTAGCTTGTGCCTCCACATTGTGGGAACTTACTTGTAGTGTATATGATGAACTAGACGGACCCATACTTACCCAAACATGGATTAATAGGTTCTATACATGACTATGGGAAACATGAGTGAAACGGTCTCAATCCAAGGGAGGAACATCAAATGGACCAAATTTGGGAACCGGAAGAGGTAAGGAGTCCGAAATGTAGCTTGTGCCTCCACATTGTGGGAACTTACTTGTAGTGTATATGATGAACTAGACGGACCCATACTTACCCAAACATGGATTAATAGGTTCTATACATGACTATGAGGAGAAACATGAGTGAAACGGTCTCAATCCAAGGGAGGAACATCAAATGGACCAAATTTGGGAACCGGAAGAGGTAAGGAGTCCGAAATGTAGCTTGTGCCTCCACATTGTGGGAACTTACTTGTAGTGTATATGATGAACTAGACGGACCCATACTTACCCAAACATGGATTAATAGGTTCTATACATGACTATGAGGAGAAACATGATGAAACGGTCTCAATCCAAGGGAGGAACATCAAATGGACCAAATTTGGGAACCGGAAGAGGTAAGGAGTCCGAAATGTAGCTCTGTGCCTCCACATTGTGGGAACTTACTTGTAGTGTATATGATGAACTAGACGGACCCATACTTACCCAAACATGGATTAATAGGTTCTATACATGACTATGAGGAGAAACATGAGTGAAACGGTCTCAATCCAAGGGAGGAACATCAAATGGACCAAATTTGGGAACCGGAAGAGGTAAGGAGTCCGAAATGTAGCTTGTGCCTCCACATTGTGGGAACTTACTTGTAGTGTATATGATGAACTAGACACCCATACTTACCCAAACATGGATTAATAGGTTCTATACATGACTATGAGGAAACATGATGAAACGGTCTCAATCCAAGGGAGGAACATCAAATGGACCAAATTTGGGAACCGGAAGAGGTAAGGAGTCCGAAATGTATCTATGTGCCTCCACATTGTGGGAACTTACTTGTAGTGTATATGATGAACTAGACGGACCCATACTTACCCAAACATGGATTAATAGGTTCTACATGACTAGGAGAGAAACTGACTGAAACGGTCTCAATCCAAGGGAGGAACATCAAATGGACCAAATGATGATAGGATTTTAGTGGATGTGATATGATATGAGGTGGAATGCAAACAGGGGTGAATAAAGATGAAATGGTATGGTGCAATCACAATCAATCAATTCCTCTTAACCATCATAGTCATGTAGTATAAGAGGTTATCAATCCAAAATGGGAAACTTGTCACTCTTTGAGAATATGAAACCCAAGAAAGTCAAGCAAGCAGTATGATTTGAAGTAACACTAACAACCTAAATGAAAGAAATGAAATGCAGAAAGTAAATAAAGCAGTAGAGCAACAGCTCGACCAAGGACTCGAGTCGAGTGGAACAGAGTACCAGCTCGATCGAGTTTAGGGTCGAGTTGAGAAAAAGCAATAAAGGCACGACTTTAACAAGCTAATGCGAGAATTAGGGTCTAAGACAGGGTTTACAATCAGAGGAAGCTACACTTAATCAATCTTGCTCTTAAAACTCCTTGTATCAAGGCTTCTCTTGATATTGGGCTTCTCAATGCCTAGCCAACCCTTTCCCAAGGTGAAAGCTATCAACCAAGGAATGATCTCAGAAACAGGGGGTTAGCCAGTGAGAATCAAACCTTGGAGGCCATAGGATCATTGCCAAACTAATCCATCCAACCCCTTAGACCTCTATTTCTAGAGCAAGAGATATTGGAGCTCTTAGTGGATCTTTTCCAGCGAATTTCCATCACTTCCATGTGGAGAATCGCCTAAGGACATACAAGCCAGGGGTAGTGGTCATGTAGCCTTAAGATTATCCAAAAGAGAGAGAATCTAGATTAAGACCATAAGCAAGAAGGATTAAGCATAAAACCTCTAATCTATCCCATCTCAAACCCTAATGGGTAACTACTCACTACACATGAATGTAAACACAAGCAAATGCAATAAAAGAGACATCATAAGAAAGAGGAGATGAAATTAAACAACTTTTATTGAAATAAGCAAGTGCAAATACAAAGAGATTATCCAGGATCTAGGATTCAAGAAGCAAGAGCTTCAAGAACACAAAGATGGGATTAGAGCTCTCAAAAGTAAAAGACAATAAATTAAAAGAAACTAAAACAAAAGTAATCTAAAGCTTGGTGGTTTTTTCGTGGCTTAGCCTTAAATACAAAGAGGATTAGGTTTAGGGTCAAAGGAAAGTCAAGGGGGAAGCAACATTTTTCGGGTTTGACTGTTGACTTCTCAGCTCGATCGAGTTGAAGCTTGGCCGGTCGAGTTGAGGAACTCGACCGGTTGGTCGAGTAGACGGTCGAGCTGGTCTTCAAGATGGCTTCTCCTTCTTCCTTTGCGTATCCAGTTGAGCTGCGTCCATGTGCCAAGTCCCTCCATGCTCCTCACGTCCCATATGCTCCAGAATGCTCCAAAAGACCTATTTCAAAGGACCAAACATGCATATGTATGCAAATGCAACCTAAAACTAACATGAATGCATAAGAAGAGAAAAGGAACAAGATATGATGCTAATGGATGCTAAAACTATGCAAAAGATGCATAAAAGATGTGCTAAAACTATGTAAAATGCAAGTACATCACCAACTCGACACTCAGCTCGATCGAGTCAAAAAACTCGAGTGACAAACTCGATCGAGTCAAGTGAAAACAGAGTATAACCGATCCTAAATCAAACAATAAGAGCTGGAAAAGATGCTTAACAATCAAATTGAACCAAGAACACTAAGTATATGGACAATTAGCAATTTTAGTGAAAACCCAAGCATCTTAACCAATACCAAACTCAAATTCAATGGAAACAAGACATGCAACAAGTTCTAGTGGAAAAACAGAGCTGAGGTGAGGCAAATTCACAAGATTATACAAATATGAAGCATAAAAGAAAGCAATGACTCAAGGATAAGTCGTCAAGGGACACATGCAATCAAAATCAAGAGAAAACAAGCAATAAAGAGAATCGAGATGAAGGAATCAAGGGTTCTAAGTGTTCATACCTTGCTTGGATGATGGAAGAATCACAAAAGCTAGAACTTAAAACAAACAAGATGATGAACAATGAAAATCGCAAAACCTTAAGAGAGAAAGAGGGGAAATCGATTTTTGTTTGTGGCGAAGATAGAGAGAGAGAGTGGTTTCAGAAAATTTAGGGTGTGGGAGAGGTGGATTCGATCGAGTTATGGGGAAGAGGGTGTTTGAGATGTGTGGTTGAGATTAAAAGTGAAATTTAGATGGGACAAAAGCTAGGGTTTTTCTGATCAATTCAGGGTAGTGGGAGACCAAAATCAGCTTGTGGGACCCACTCCCTTGACCAAGAAAACGGTTAGAAATTTGAAAATTGAAAAACTTACCTGGTCGAGTTGTGGAGCTCGATCGAGTTGCCCTGGTTTCTAGCTCGATCGAGCTGTCGGTCGAGCTGGCTTCCTTGACACCTAAACTTAGCTTATTCAGGGTTAAAAACATAAAGATAGATAGAAATTGCATAAATAGAGTATGTACAAGGATAAACATGGGACTTCCTCCCAAGTGAGCTTGTTTAAGGTCCCATAGCTTGACCTTTACCTTCTTAGGCATTGGTTGAGCTAGTCCCACCATCAAGGGTGATAGTGAGGACTTGAGACAGAAGCTCCTTTAGCTTGGATGGGTCCCTGGATTGTTCTGAAGTCACCAAGGCTTTGGCTCTAGAGAATGGCCTTGATCTCCCCTTGTACCTTATCTTGTACTCAATCTTCCCATTTTCAAACTTGGTGGGGAACAAAGTCATTGTGAGCTGAGATGGCTTGAATGAAGGGGCCTGAGCTGGTGGATCTTTTCTTTTATCCCCTGGTCTTGCCTTAGAGGCTACATCCTCCCCTTCTTTTAGAGCCCTTCCTAGTGGCTCATCAAACAAAGCTTGAAGGCTCTCTTCATCAAGCACACAAGGGGCTTGAACAAGTCATCAGCTCTGGTCTATCAGAACGTGGTTTCTCAACTCTAGCCCTCTCAAGACGTGGCTTCTCAATCCTTGGTCCTCTCTCAACCTTATCCTTCCCAACTCTTGGTTCTTTGTCAACCCTTTCCTTCACAACCTTTGTAGCTCCATGACTCTTAGAACTGAGAGTTGTACTGTCAATTGTGGCACAAAAGTCTGAACTTCTAGCTATGACACAAACTATTCACCTTGTGAAGGATCACTTCTTGCTTGTGAAAGTCTATTGAAGCGCCAACTGTACTAAGGAAAGGTTCCCAATAACAGAGGTAATCCTTCTCTTCTTCCATTTCCATCACAGTGAGATCAGTTTGGATGATGCATTCTCCAATTTTCAAGTGATAGTTCTTGAACACTCCAAGAGGAGACTTAGAAGTTGCATCTCCAAACATGATTGAAGTAGTAGGGCGCTGCAAGGCTCCAGCAATGCCTAGCTTCTCTGCCATGGAGAGAGAGATCAGATTGATGCTTGCTCCAGAATCCACTAAGGCATTGTCAATCTCAAGATGCCCAAGTGTGCAAGGGAGAGTGAATTTCCCTTGATCCTTGACCTTTGGTAGGAAGGTGGGTGAAGTAAGCAGGTTGAACTGATGAGTAGACTCCTTCAGGACCTCTGAAACTTTATCACTGTTGGCTAGAACATCCTTGACCATTTGCATTTGATCAAATGCTCACTCATGCTATCCATAGGAGGCAACTCAATTCCAATCCCACTAAGATCTCTTCTGAACTTGTGAATCACTTCCTTGTGCCCTTGACTAAGTAGGCGAGATGAGGAAGTGGCAACCGGTTGGTAGGGATCAAGCAAAATTGGTTTTGGGACAGAAGAGGTCGGACTCGATCGAGCTAGAGTTGACTCGATCGAGCTGCCGATCGAGCTTGTTGTGCGAGCTCAACTGGTGAAGTGTGAAGGGCCACAGTAGGTGCCTGCACTTC